ATGCAAGAGATGCAAGGACATAGATTTGATCCCTGGGTCAGAAAGAAATGGCAGCCTGCTCCAGTGTTCTTGCCTGTAGAATTCCATAGACTGAGTAGCCTGCCTGGTGGGCTACAGTCCATGAAGTCACAGAGTCGGATGTGACTGAGTTCACACACACATCTATTCTTAGGTGAGCAATAATTGTTAGTGTGACTTTTAAAAAATTATTTTTGTACATGAGATATGATTTCACTTCCATGATCTCTCAATGTATTGAAACATTTTTATAAAATGTACTTTTCTTTGCATTATTAACAGCTTGGTCATGGTATGTATATAATATGTATTTTTCTAATATTTTATTCATGATAATAATATCTTAGTTTTCTGAGTGTAATTGACCTATTGTTTTCCTTCCTGAAATTGTTCTTGTCAGACTGATCATAAAGATCAAGATTCTTTGAAAATAACTGGAGTGTATACTCTTTTCCTATTCTTAGGCATACATTTTGTTTATCTGGAATAAAATGGCTATAAAATGGCTCACATTTTTATTTCTTGTTCTGTCTGTTTTGCAAGTTATATTTTCTTGGAATTTGTCCATTTAATTGAAATATTATAACACTTTAATTCCAAAGTTCTTCAAACAAAAATCGAAGAGATTTAAAAACTGTGTTAGTCCTTTTAGACAGGACTTTTTTGCTTTTTGTTCACATCTTCCATAAGCTCATTTTGATTATCCTAATTTCTGTTCTTGTCATTATTACTATCTTCCCTCTATTATTTAGTTTTATTTTTTGGGTCAAATGTTCATCCTTCTTTCTTTGCTGATATATGCTTTTGAGGAAATACATTGTCACCCTGCTTATTTAACTTATATACAGAGTACATCATGAGAAACGCTGGGCTGGAGGAAGCACAGGCTGGAATCAAGATTGCAAGGAGAAATATCAATAACCTCAGATATGAAGATGACACCACCCTTATGGTAGAAAGTGAAGAAGAACTAAAGAGCCTGTTGATGAAAGTGAAAGAGGAGAGTGAAAAAGTTGGCTTAAAGCTCAACATTCATAAAACTAAGATCATGGCATCTGGTCCCATCACTTCATGGCAAATAGATGGGGAAACAGTGGAAACTGTCAGACTTTATTTTTCTGGGCTCCAAAATCACTGCAGATGGTGATTGCAGCCATGAAATTCAAATACACTTACTCCTTGGAAGAAAAGTTATAAACAACTTAGACAGCATATTAAAAAGCAGAGATATGACATTACCAATAAAGGTTTGTCTAGTCAAAGCTATGGCTTTTCCAGTAGTCATGTATGGATGTGAGAGTTGGACTATAAAGAAAGCTGAGTGCAGAAGAATTGATGCTTTTGAAGTGTGGTGTTGGAGAAGACTCTGGAAAGTCCCTTGAACTGCAGGGAGATCAAACCAGTCCATCCTAAAGGAAATCAGCCCTGAATGTTCATTGGAAGGACTAATGCTCAAGCTGAAACCCTAATACTTTGGCCACCTGATGCGAAGAATTGACTCGTTGGAAAAGACCCTGATGCTGGGAAACATTGAAGGCAGGAGGAGAAGGGGACAACAGAGGATGAGACGGTTGGATGGCATCACCGACTTGGTGGATATGAGTTTGAGTAGGCTCCAGGAGCTGGTGATGGACAGGGAAGCCAGGCATACTGCAGTCCATTGGGTCACAAAGAGTTGGACATGACTAAGTGACTGAACTAAACTGATTAGTATAATAATAACATAACTGCACTGATATTTCAAAGTTTGAAATACATGTATTTAAGTGTAGGATATTTTAAAAAATCAAATAAATCTGAGCAATATACCTGTTGAGTCATGGCTGCAGCTAAATTCCCTCCAGCACTCTCTCCAGAGATACCAATTCTTTCAGGATCTACACTGTACCTGTCAAGAACATCTCGGCTTAAGAACCACTTTAGTGCATTATAGACATCTTCAAATTGGCTTGGAAAGTGATGTTCAGGTGCTAGTCGGTAGCTGTGGGCAGAATAACAATGTTCTTTAAGTCAGTTATTGTTAATCAAAAAAATGTGTGGATGTGCATGCTCTAACCTAAAAATCAAAAGTAATATTTTTCCTTAGCAACCTCATATTTTAGGTCATTATGAATTTAAAGACAAACTTAATCTTTATGATTGTGCTTGACATGAAGGTTTTTACAAATGCCATTTTTACATAAGTAAAATCTTGAATGACAAGTCTGGACTAGATTTAAAAAAAAAAAAACAACCCTGGCGATAACTTCCTGAAACTAAACTTCTCCCAAAATGTTATTTTCTTTGTAGTCATTACACTTTATTAGCAACCAATAAATAATGAACAAATAATAGGAACTATTCTATTTCAACTTAATCTAATGATCAAGTTGGCATGCAGGGGTCACTATTTTTTTCATATTTTCTTCATTTTTCTAGTCATTCCCATTGGGTTTCTTTTCTACTGTTGGTCATTAACCTAGAATGTTTTTTGAAACTAGATTTTGTCTGAATTCCCACATGTTACTTAGTGACTAACTGCTTTTAAGGGAGGATTATCCCATGAAATGGAGAAGGCAATGGCACCCCACTCCAGTACTCTTGCCTGGGAAATCCCATGGACGGAGGAGCCTGGTAGGCTGCAGTCCATGCGGTTGCTAAGAGTCAGACATGACTAAGCGACTTCAGTTTCACTTTTCACTTTCATGCACTGGAGAAGGAAATGGCAACCCACTCCAGTGTTCTTGCCTGGAGAATCCCAGGGATGGAGGGAGCCTGGTGGGCTGCTGTCTATGGGGTCGCACAGAGTCGGACACGACTGAAGTGACTTGGCAGCAGCAGCAGCAGCAGCAGCCCATGAAATATATACTAATTTCTTTAAATATATCTTATTGGTTAATCCTCAAAAAAAAAAAACCACACTATAATATACAAAATATTATGCCTCTCAGTTTACACATGAGAAAACAGATCTAACATATTTAACTGGCAGCCATCCAGTTGACTCTATCACCAGGTTTTGAACCTCATTTTCTGACTCTGAAGCCCTGCTAATTAAGAGTCGGCTAAAAGGCCATTGGAAGTCCTTTGTCCATGAGATGCAATAGTTAGATTTTATTATAAAAATTTCTTGACTTGCTCTTTTTGATCCCTACTTGGCCTAACTATAAAAGTCTTTTCTATCTGACTCTTTTCTGGTCATGCTCAAACTCACTTTTTCTATTCCCATCTTCTCAACTTCATTTGAACACTCCTGACATAACCAAGGAATGACCAAGACTGCTGTGAGCATCTGACTGGATAAGGCATCTGGCCAAAAACCACTCGATCCCACAGTGTTCTTACTTGGTTGAAATGACAACAGCATCTAGTATAACGGCTGTCCGTCTTGATAGAAAGTCAATATCAAAGAAAGCTGAAACAAATGAAAATAAAATCAGAGACTGACAGATGAAGGGTGTTCCCTTCAGCAGAAATCTTACTACTCTACCTTGTTCCTCAATGAAATGTTCTGGGAAAAATATTTCTAAAATTTCATCATAGCTACAGAACATAAATTCCTCTATTCAGTGGTCCTTTCACATATGCCTCATTTTCACACTAAATATATTAAACAAACTTCATTCCCTTCAACATTAATCTCTGTTACCTTCATTTAGCAGCTGTTATGTGTTGAAAAGATTGACACAGAAATATTAGCTCCCTGATACTTGGGAACTCACTACCTACTGAAGATAAGTATAGGGAGGGATAGCCGTATACGCAGACAGGAACACTGCGAAATAGTAGTTGCTTTAATGGGAAAGCGTAATAACTGCTCTCTGGAAATAGTATTAGATGCCATCAAAACTGCCAGAGGAAGATAAAGAGTAAAGGGGAAGTAGGGAGAGCTGAGACCTGATTTATACATTCCTATTTTCTAGAAGACAGACAAAAATATGTGCTTTCTGGAGTCTGTTTGTTTGGGTTTTATTTTTGGCCATGTATACAAGATTGGGATGGGCCACACATGTTTGCTACTAGGCTTGGGTAAATCCTCCCTTTTGCATATAAGAAAAGTTTAAGAACATAGAATTGAATTTGTCAGAAATAGGAAGAGAAAGAAATCATAAAATGCTAAAGGGCGATATCAAGATACAAAGTTGTTGCAAATGTTCCATCACATGAAAGGAGGAGTACGAATTGTCTTGTGACAATTTTCAAAGTTGGGTGTTGACTATTCTTAAAATGTTGAATATACACTAAGTTTTAAACTTTTATTTAACACTTGCTACAAAAAGTTGTTGTCAATACTTCTCTTTAGTGAGTCCAATTCCCTCCTACTTCCTCTAGGTCAGACAAATCTCATCCCAACCTCCCCCTCTCCACATTTCCTCAACATCTTCATGTTTGACTTACAAGCACATTCACAGGCCTTCCATAGATAAATATGAAACATATATGATAAAAATATATTTATACATACATAAAAGTTTTTATAAGTAAAATTATATATAATTTATGTATTATATATAAAAATGCATCAAATAAATTGAAATGTACATGTGTCCTATATAAAATAAAAATAAAATACCTTTTTTCAACTCTGTGCTTCTTTTCAATCTAACACCTTCCTTCTCATTTCCTTCAAATCAAAGATTACTGAAAAACTGGCATCACCATCTCTATTTCCTCATCTACTATTCAACTCGCTTCGTTTTGGTTTTCACCACAATGTTCCATCATTTCTGCAATTAACAAGTTTAACGCTGTATTTCTAAGTTCATAAAATTCTTTTCCCTCTTACCTGTTATCTGCTATAGCTTTTGATATTGATTATTATTTTTCAGAGAGAGATTTAATATAATTCCTTTAAACTATTAATAGCATAGGTCCAAAGAATTAAACTTCAGACAGCTGAAGTGTTCTGTTATCTGTGATAATGTTTAACATATGTCAAAGCCAACATCTTAGTAAAATGTATGCTAGGTGATAAACTAAAAGTTTCAACGAGAGGCTCAAACCAGCACTTCCCATACACCAACCACCACCATGAACATAAAATAAGCCTCTTCTTAGTGTCTCTGACTTCCGTTTTGGTAAATATATACGGACAGGAACATTGTTGAAAGTTGTCTCCATCACAGTGACGTTTTCATCAGATGTGGGTGGGACTTCTTGAATGCTCATGAAGAACCCTGTAATGTCCATGGAATTACTGATTCCCAACAGTTCAGCCAAGTGACCCTAAAATAAGAGTGAAGGGGAAAAACACATCGAGGTTACAGATATCAAATGCCAATGCTGTTAATGACCCTAGAAGGACACACATGTGTTCCTAAAGGTCCTGTGTTCCTAAAGGTCCTGTGTCACACTGTCACAGGTGAATCTGAAGAGGTTCAGAATCTTTACCACAATAGTTGGCCTCAGATTAAAAAAAAAAATAGATAAAGAATTACTGAAGTATTACAATTTGGCAGATTTTATACTTCCTACTTTGAGCACAAAGATAAACAAGGTAAGTGCTCTATATAAGTTCAAAAAAGTCAAGTGAGAGAAATGGATACATAGTCATAAAACAACATAACCAATGTCTCATAGACATATAGAGAGAACTCTGGCGGAGGTCAATAAACTAGATGCCTGATCATAAGATTTGGGGAGGAATTTTCAGACAGTGGCGAACTCTGATGTGAATATTCAAAGGGGAAGAAAAATGTGGCCAACCAAAAAAGGAAATCTCACCAGAGCCCAAAGGAACAGACAAGGGACACTCCTGTTACAGAGAAATGCGGGTGATTTACTAAACCATGAAGTAGTAAAGCTAGTAGAGCTATTTTAACAAAGTATGATTGACAGAGGATATAGTTTAGAGGGAGTTTTCAGAAAAAAAGAACGTTTAAGACATGTGCTAGAATTACTTACCAGGACCAGACTGGGCAAAGTGGAGGAAGGACCTTTCTTAAGAACAGCTGACCGCCTTGTCCTCTTATGTAGTTGTTCCTGAATGTGACTTTGGTTCAAGAGCCTAGATGTCTGCTTTGGGGAACCTGTTCATCTCAAAGTGCAGTTCCTGACTAATCGGGATGACACCATGTTGCCCCATCTTCCCCACCTGAGCTTGGGAATAGCAAATGGATGGCCGGGCAGCTCTTGTAGTCTCATGAAGACCACACAGTGCCCACTTCACACTTGGGAAGGAAGCTCATGCAACTACTTGCTGTTTGAAGCTATGAATCATGCACCCTGGCACTGGGGGCTTCTGTTCTTGAGAGTTATTTGAATGAAATCATGGCTTCTGACCTTCTGCTATCCTTCTGAAGAGAGGTCAGCCTGAGCCCAGAGCCTGGGCACGTGGATGGTCCAGGCAAGAGGGCTCTTGAGGCTGCTGGGACCACCTCATTGGACCGGCTGCCTATCCTAAGGAACCATCCATTGTAAGTTTGGATAACCGTGGTATCCAGCTGTGAGGACTGGAGAGGAGGTGAAGTTGGTCCATCATGGCCTGCGCACCCTCCTCAGAGAAGTGCTGGTGAAACATTTCACAACTCTAGCATGTCTGACGGAGAAGGCAATGGCACCCCACTCCAGTACTCTTGCCTGGAAAATCCCATGGACAGAGGAGCCCAGTGGACTGCAGTCCATGGGGTCGCGAAGAGCCGGACCCGGCTGAGCGGCTTCACTTTCACTTTCACGCATTGGAGAAGGAAATGGCAGCCCACCCCAGTGTTCTTGCCTGGAGAATCCCAGGGACGGGGGAGCCTGGTGGGCTGCCGTCTATAGGGCCGCACAGAGTTGGACACGACTGAAGCGACTTAGCAGCGGCAGCAGCAGCAGCAGCAGTGTGTCTGAATGAGACCCCAGATTCTCCAGAAAAATGTTTCCACTTGCCTTAGGAAAATATTTTGTTCTTGCCCTAGTTTAGCAGCAACCGCCAGCATCTCAAACCAGCCACTGAAGCTCGTCTGTGGTGTCCGTCCTCCTCCTCCTCCAACTGCCCTAGACCTCAGACCCGCGTAGTCTGAGCAGCCTGCCTCTCAGCCCTGGGTCTGCTGTCACATTCTCCAGGTCTTCTCTAGCAAGGATTTAAAGGGAAACCTCCAGCTTTCCCTGCTGCCTCCTGGAGATGGCCCACAAAGGGACAAGGGGAAGATTACCGTCACAGATCCGTAGTGAAGGAGGCTTGCTGTCCCAGCCCGTGCCCTGTGAGCCCAGGCCCACAAACTGCATACAATAGAGTGTTAGTGGCTGTGTACAATAAATGCCAAAAATTCGGTTGTGGTTTCATTAAAAAAAAAAAAAAAGACGTGCTGAAATTAGAAAACTGACCTGCTTAAAGATAATAATGCCCTTGTTACCAATGTTAAGTGACATGTTAATGCATGAAATACAGTAGCAAAATAGTTATTGAATGTAACACCTGTAACAGTCCCCATTAAGGGAGAGGTTTGTGAGGTGAGTAGCTAGGACTCTGTGCTTTCACTGCAGTTTGCACAGGTGTGATGCTGGGAAAGATTGAAGGCTGGAGGAGAAGGGGACAACAGAGGATGAGGTTGGATGGCATCACCGACTCAATGGACATTTGTTTGGGTAAACTCCAGGAGTTGGTGATGCACAGGGAGGCCTGGCATGCTGCAGTCCGTGGGGTCGCAAAGAGTTGGATACAACCTAGCTACTGAACTGAACTGAACTGATACCGGGTTGGGGAACTATAAGGTTAGTGCAAAAGTAATTGTAGTTTTACACTGTTGAACTTTGCCACTTGACACTGGAATATATTCTTAAATAAATGTTGTTACATTATACACAATTTTAATGCAGATTTCTCTCTTTATGCTTTTTTTTTGCTAATGATTTATTATGTGTTGTTTATTTTATATTTATTTCAGACTATAGATATGATGCTAGACAAAAGCAAATTCAAGCGTTTTTTTAAAATTTGAGTTCAAAATCGGTCATAAGCAGTGGAGACAACTCACATGAACAACACATTTGGCTCGGTAAATGCTAACAAGCATACGGTGGAGTGGTGGTTCAAGAAATTTTGCAAAGGAGGCGAGAGTCTTGAAAATGAGGAGCAGAGTGGCTGGTTATCAGAAGGTGACAACAACAATTGAGAGCAATAATCAAAGCTGATCCTCTTAGAAATATACAGGCAATTGCTGAAGAACTCAGCATCAATCATTTTATGTTCATTTGGCATTGGAAGCAAATTGCAAAGGTGAAATCTTGATAAGTGGGTGTCTCATGAACTGACAGAAAATTTAAAAAATCGTGGTTTTGAAGTATCATCTTCTTTTATTCTACACAACAACAATGAACCATTTCTTGACTGGATTGTGATGTACAATGAAAAGTGGATTTTATGTGACAACCAGCAATGACCACCGCAGTCATTGGATTGAGAAGTTCCAAAACACTTCCCCAAGCCCAGCTCGCACAAAAAGATGCTCATGGTCACTGTTTGGTGGCCTGCTGCCCGTCTGGTCCACTACAGCTTTCTAAATCCTGGTGAAACCATTCCATCTGAGAAGTATGCTCAGCAAATTGATGAGATGCACCAAAAACTGCAACGCTGGCAGCCAGTACTGGTCAACAGAAAGAGCCCATTTCTCCTCCACAACAATGCCTGACTGCATGTCACACAAGCAACACTTCAAAAATTGAATGAATCAGGCTATAGAGTTTTGCTTCAACTGGCATTTTCACCGGACCTCTCACCAACTGACTACTTCTTCTTCAAGCATCTTGACAACCTTTTGCAGAGAAAACACTGCCACAACCAGCAGGATTGAGAAAAATGCTTTCCAAGTGTTCGTTGAATCATGAAACATAGATTTTGATGCTATAGGGATAAAGAAACTTATTCCTTGTTGGCAAAATGTGTTGATTGTAATGGTTCTTACTTTGATTAATGAAGATGTGTTTGAGCCTAGTTATAATGATTTAAAATTCACACTACAAAATTACAATTACTTTTGTACCAAATACTTTTGTACCAAAAGTATTCCATAAGCTGTGTGGCAGGGTCAAAAATAAGGGGGAAAAAAAAGCACAGTGCTAGAGGTATGATTAATGCAAGATGCCTGTGAAATAATTTCCAACCTTTACAGACTATTGCTAAAAATAGACATTCACATAAATAAACTCTAATAAAAGGCAGATCAAAAAAGGACCTTGAATGGCTGCTCAGGTAGAGAGAAGACAGATCAGTTCTGAAAATAAGAAGAAAATTTCTGATGGGTGTACTGTTTGATTTCAACCTGTTGAATGTGAAAAATTATAGTTGCTTAAAATTTTTAGATTTAGTCATAATAATTTGATCAAAGGCCTAAAAAAAAGAAATTTCAAAGGTGTTCATGAAAAGCATTTTATCTGGAAGCTAACTTGCTTGGTTTATGTGGTTGAAATTACAGTGGGAAGCTCTGTTGACACTGCAGTATCAGGAGCTACTTTCAGAACACAGTGTCTATTTTTCTTTTGTAAACATATCATCAAGCAGCTTAATGTGTTCTAACTAGCCAACAACAAAATAAATGAGATCCATATATTATATATACATATATATCATTAAGTATAATGATCAAAGAAACACTAGATCTTCCTCCATTTCCAATGAGGTTATGTCCTGGTAAATTCATTGTAAACTGAAAATTCTGTAAGTCAGAAATGCATTTAAATATATGTAACCTACCAAACAGGCTTCCCAGGTGGCTCAGTGGTAAAGAATCCGCCTGCGAATGCAGGAGACAGGGGTTCAATCCCTGGATCAGGAGTATCCCCTGGAGGAGGAAATGGCAATCCACTCCAGTATTCTTGCCTGGGAAATCCCACAGAAAGAACCTGGCAGGTTACATTCCATGAGGTCACAAAAAAGAGCCAGACAAGACTGAGCAACTACACACACACAACCTGCCAAACATCTGCTTGGCCTACCGGGGGGCATAATCATCTAACGCAAAACTTATTTTACAAGAAAATACCGAAATTGTGTAATTTACTGAATACTGTACTGAAAGTGAAGAACACAATGGTTGTAGTAGAGAGTGGTGTAAGTATGTAGGTTGTTTACACTTGTGGTCAAGGGGTTAACTGGGAGCTGCGGCTCCCTACTGCTGTCCAGCGTCATGACAAGGAGTTGCCCACATATCTCGTGCCTGGGAAAAGACCAAAATCAAAATGCAAAGTACACTTTCTACTCTATGTGTATAACTTATGCCCCGTCATAAAGTCAAAAAAACAATAAG